AACCGCCACGACAAAAGGTAGCCGCGGGAAATGCGCTACCTCAAAAAAAAAAACCAAAACCAAAAAAAAGTAAGTGGTGCTCATGGAAGACCGGCCGCCGTGAGCCTAGGAGCGGTGAGAAGCAGCCCCCCCTTGGCGCTAGGGACACTGGAGGACGACCCTGACCCTGCTGGCTGCTTCGGTGCGAGAGCCGCCGCTGCCGTGACGGGCGGCGTTCAGGGCGATGGTTCAGCCCGGTCTGACCGCCCAGAACTGATCCGAAGGCTGACAGCAAAAATTCGGCGTCTGCAGCAGCCTGGGATGACAGCTTCGCCCCCTCGGCGCCATCTGCGACAGTTCTGGTTTGCTTCTACAGGTTTCATCCACGCGGCCGGTGCCCTCGGCCTGCTCCCGCCTGCCTCTTGGATTGTAGATCTGCTTCTCATTTCATAGTGAGAGATTTTCTTCGTGGGTTTCTGTATGCTGCTTGACCCATGTAATCTGCTTCCTGTGTGCTGTTAAAAAGTATTTTGAACTTCCAGTATTAAAAGATTTGCTGGCAAACACTCAGCCTTTAGAAAATAACCGTGGTTTTTTTTTTTTCTTTGTTGAATAAAAACCATCATCTGAAATACTTTCCTTCCATGATGGATATGAAAAATTGCATCCTTCCTTTTGACTGTTCAGAAGGATATGCTTCCACCTTTACTGTCCAGTGACATTGTATATGGCTCTACCTCTCAGTACCATCACTGTCATCTGCAACCCTTTGGCTAATTGTTTTCCATGTACAATCCTAAATCTGTTCTGTTACCCTACATCCTTTTTTATCCCCTCTTGTTCTTTAGGCTTTGCTCCCTCTCTGTATGTATATGTGGTTTTCATGGTATTTTTTAACCTGTGCCAGGTCCCTGTATATTGATGGTATCCTTCCACAGTTTCTGGACTGCTGTCCTGCAGTTCCCTTGTCTAGGAGGAAATCTGGCATAGTCGCAAATCAGACATAGAACGCAGCAGACTGCATATGCTCCACAATGGCTGCTTTTTTAGTTCATAATTAAAATGGAATAGCACATCCAAAAACTTCTCCCACAGTTTGAGCTGCTATGTCCAAGCTAGCCCCTTTACCAAGCCTTGCTAGCAGCAACTGTGATGCATAGACTAGACTAAACTAGAATATTTTCAGTTGGAAGGGATCTACAACGATCATCTAGTCCAACTGCCTGACCGCTTCCAGGCTGACCAAATGTTAAAGCATGTTGTTAAGGACATTGTCCAAATGCCTCTTAAACGCTGACAGGCCTTGAGCATTGGCCACCTCCCCAGGAAGCTGTTCCAGTGTCTGACCACCCTCTCTCTAAAGAAATGCTTCCTCATGTCCAATCTGATAGCCTGCAAAGCCTCACCAAATGGTCTGTTCATGGTCTGGTCAATGGTAGTGCTGAGAAGCATGTTTTTGCAGAGACACCTCTCTAGTACTAAAAGAAGCTGTAAAATAATATGATTGAGATGCTGTTGCCAATCCGTGTTGTAGTAAGAGGACAGGCATGATGGCTCTGGTTAGGTCTATGCTTTGAAGAATCAGGAACCAGGATCTCACTTTTTATGCATTCAACGATGACTAGATTTAACAGAAAAGCTCCCAGATAACCCTCCTTAGGCTTAGCCATTAGAGCCTTCCCTCTGCTCCCTGCTGAATACCAACACATTTATTCTGAGAGGACACTTTTTTTCCCCTGACATCTCAGAAACAGGCTTAGATTTGGTATTCATGCTACATATATTTAATTCTACTTCATACATAGAACTCATTAAATGCCATGGAGTATAAATATGGATGTATTTTAAATTGAAAAAGTTACAGGACGAGAAATTGCATTAGAGCAATGGTTTGATTTGGAGAAGGAACCTCCTTTCTCATATATATCCCATTAAAGGAAATCACTGTGAGTTTCATCTCAGTTTTGAACAAGTAAAAGCCAATCTGATTTGTATGGAGAGAGCATGACTGGGAAGTTCCTACTTGGCCATATCCAAAGAGTAACTGAAGTTTGCATTTATATCAAACAGAACTTGGGCTCAGGTTCTCTGTGGATGTTTTACAGTGATTATCAGTTTCCTTGCAGCTGCAGAAAAAAATCACCTATAATTGTATGTAACCTATTTGAAAACTGTCTTGATAATGCAAAATGGTCTTACAGATATTTGTGTAATTCGATTTCCCCTTTAAAAAGTTGAGCAATCAAGACCTCTGGTAAGAGTAATTAATTTCTCAACTATTATGTGGAACTTGTTTGTTACAAGATCCTTGCAGTAGCCTTCCTGCAGTTTCTGATGTCTCTTCCTCTTTACCCTGCTACAGCCAGCCTGTCAGAGTTCAAGGAGCTTTTGGGTGACGCTCTTAGGCATATGGTTTGTTTGTAGGTATTCCTGCAAGGAAGAGAGAGTTGGCCTCAGTCGTTCTTATGGGTCCTTTCCAACTCAACATATTCTATGATTCTATGAATCTATTGTTATATTTACCTACACTGTTATGATTGTGCGGTTCCCTGTTGTTGCTGGGATGTCTTGGATCCTTCTGGAGGCTGTGCCCTCCATAGGATGCCAGGCACATCTGTTATTGGCCAAATTTAGAATCATGGAATCACATAGTCATAGAAACATTTAGGTTGGAAAAGACCCTTAAGATCATTGAATCCAACCGTTAGCCTAACACTGCCAAGTCCACCACTAAACCACGTCCCTAAGCACCACATCCACCGATCTTTTAAATACCTCCAGGGATGGGGAGTCAACCACTTCCCTGGGCAGCCTGTTCCAACACCTGACAACCCCTTCAGTGAAGAAATTTTTCCTAATATCCCATCTAAACCTCCCCTGGCACACCTTGAGGTCATTTCCTCTTGTCTTATTGCTTGTTACCTGGGAGAAGAGACTGACACCCACTGACATAGAATTCCCCCCAGCCTCCTCCAGGCTAAACAACCCCAGTTCCCTCAGCTGCTCCTCATCAGACTTGTGCTCCAGACCCCTCACCAGCTTCGTTGCCCTTCTCTGGACATGCTCCAGCACCTCAATGTCCTTCTTGTAGTGAGGGGCCCAAAACCAAAAACAGTATGAAGGTGTGGCCTCATCAGTGTTGAGTACAGGGGGACAATCACTTCCCTACTCCTCCTGACCACACTATTTCTGATACAAGCCAGGATGCTGTTGGCCTTCTTGGCCACCTGGGCACACTGCTGGCTCATATTCAGCTGGCTCTTGACCAACACTCCAGGTCCTTTTCCACCAGGCAGCTTTCCAGCCACTCTTCCCCAAGCCTGTAGTGTTGCGTAGGGTTGTTGTTACCCAAGTGCAGGACCCAGGACTGAGCCTTGTTGAATCTCATACAGCTGGCCTCAATCCACTGACCCAGCCCATCCAGGTCGCTCTGTAGAGCCTAGGCTCCTTTCCTGTGGGTTTTTTGTTTGTTTGTTTGTTTGTTTGCTTTTTTAAAAAAATTATTTTTATTTAACTACATATAGAGTGACAACAAAGAATGCCATGTCAAGAAATTGCTTGCACTTAAGGCAAACCTTTCACTTGCTTCAGGGTAATTCTTATTTATTGAAGTAGGGTCTCAAAACCTTGAGGGAGTTCAGTACCTGTCTCCTAACAAGACCAGCAACATACACTGCTAGAACAAGACTTGGAGGTGTGGGGGACAAAAGCAGTGCACCTCTTGATAAACACAAGGAGTAGCTCTCAGGGCACTGCAAAGGGGTGGGAGAAAGAGGGGAAGTCTCACACTGGATCAGCTTTGGGGAGGAAACATGGGAAAATGGTAACTAATGACAGAATATTATGCAATAAGATGAGTCACGAGTGCACATTTTATTGATGTGCCAAACAGGAGCAGTGACAGATGAGGTTGCATGATAGGCTGGGTGGCTACTCCTTTCTCTCCTCGTTTCATGGCTGGGCCCAATGCTATGCACGTGCTGTGTGATTTTCTAAGTACAACCAAAATACATGTAGGTTGATGTGAAGCAGAAGATGATTTTGTGACACTGTTGAGCATGCCTAGCAAAGAAGAGATCTTTTTCGCTATTTGGAAATATTTTCCGTATTTTCTCATTGTCTATGATTCTGACTATGATCTCTGTATGAACATGAGCAAGTATGTAATTCTATTTCCTTGCTTTCAATAGACTATTTATAAAGACATTCATTATCATTCACTATCTTATTTTTAAACATGATTTTGTTAATAGAAGGAAACTTGTTTTAATTATTTCTTTTCCTGGGGACTTCTTGCCCAGCTGAGATCCAAGTGGAATTTCACATAGAAGAGATGCTGAAGGAGACAGACGTTCTGCCCATGCTTACCTGAAATAAGAACAGTGAGTAGATTTTCAAGAGTTGCTCTTGAAATGATGCCCTGTCATACGAGAGCAGTAAAGGATCAAGAAACACACCTGATCCAGACACTCTGGAGCATTTGCGCAAACATTAAGGTTTTGGTGGTCCTCCCCCTCCTTTCAGTCCCCTTCCCTTCCCCTTCAGGCTCTGCAAGCCAGCAGCCCGCTGTGGCAGCAGAGGGCACTCTAGCACTGCTTTTGCCAGATCAACCCTTGTCCAGGGTTTCAGTTCAGGGTGGGATTCTGAAAAAAAAAGTGTTCAAAACCAGCTGAATAACCTGCTTCACCCAGATGCTGCTGCTAGATTTCTCAGCAGTTCACGCATTTTCCCTTTCTGTGCTCTTTGAAATGACCTTCATTGATTAGGGCCCAGACTACAGGTACAAATGTGAGCAATCATAAATTGCTTCTGTTGGTCTGCTGAAGTTTAGGTTGTCTTGTAGCTCTTTGCACATAACCACCCTTCCATGTATCTTAACTGTTTGCGAGTGCTGGCTTCACTCCTGCTGCCTGTGGGACAATTTGCTCATGGTCTGCCTTACTGTATACTGGTCAGGGAAAGGAAAAAGGGGAAAGTCTTTAAAAAGGCTGTAGTAAGCTGTGCTGCACACAAATGCCTTGTCGGACAGCCAGAAAGACAATCTATCTGCAAACGGTTATCTTAGGAAGGGCTCCCATTTACTTTTAATTTTAGAAGTACAAGAATCATGCGATATATGAATTTACTGAAAAAATTTGTAATATTTACTGGGTGAAAAGGAAGTCAGAGTCGTTGGCGGTAAGAGTCATCTTCCGATTTCTTGGCGGAAGTCTGGAGCCAACTGCTTGACAGGGGAACTAGGCAGAGTTGCTGATCTAGGCAGATTAGGCTAATCTTTATGCTGATATTATAGATCATCCACTTGGAAATGGCTTTTGTATTTGCATCTAGGGTTGTTAGACCCTCTCTTTGGCCCTGCCTCGCTATATCTAGTTGCTTGAGTCTGTGCTGCTCTAATAGTGAGGAAAGCCGCTGAGCCCTCCTCGCTTCTTGGAACAGCAAGACTCCGTGGTTTAGTCTAGATATCAGAGTCCCGCAGTGAACATCTCGCTCATGAATTGGTTACTATCTTCCAGTGAAACCAGTAAGGAGCGAATGAAGTAAATGCACCATAGGTAACACTCATTTCTACTGGTAGTAGAAATATTTACTAACAACTTGACCATTAACCCTGGACTGAAGGCTAGGTTTTTGATAACTGCTGTATTGTAAAATTTCAGATAGTTACGAACCGGAACTTGCTATACATCAAGCAACAGTTCCATATGTTTCTGGCAACAGAAGGGTATTGCACAACACACTCTTTAAGCAAGCAAGGTATTAAGTAATTGTACAAAGAGGAAATGCAGAGAAGGAACCTACAGATAATATGGAGTCTGTTTTTGACAAGCCCTACGACACTTCATGGCTCCCTGAGTCTTTTTCATTTAAGAGAACGCTGATGTGGGTAAAGTGCTTTCTTTCTTACCGCTATCTTAATTCTTGAATATTTGTAAAGAAGAAGGCTCAGAGATGTTTTAACTTAGTTTTGCTGGAAATTTTTTTCTCTTAAGAAACCCTACATGCCTTTGGCAGTGGGAAATTTACAACTATTTATTTTAACTGCTTCTTTAAACAAAAAAGAAAAGCCTGTGTGCATTTCCTTAGAAAAACTATCAGAAAAGTTGTAATATTTAGGGCATACCTTTTACAGGAGCAACTTCAAATTAGTCTTTCAGCACTGTAAAGCCAGAATAGTTTTACAGAACTTAGGACTAAGTAGTAATCTAGTATACTAGCAATTATTATTAATTACTACTAATTATTAACACACTATTTAGTGTGCTACAAACTATAAGATTATTACTAAATAAAGCTGGTAATATTGGAGACTATTGTAGATTCTAGAAGCTTTAGAGTATTTAAATTTTGGCTCAGAGAGGGTTAATGCAAATAGACTGTGCTTCTACACTTGATATTTGAGTATTTTAAGGATTTTAATAAAAGCTTGTCTAAGCAAACAGTATTTTTTGTTCAGAACATTGTTAAGTTACTCTTAAAAATCATGGGTTTGCTTACATGAGGATGGTGATTAACATTTACAAATGAGAGCTGGGGGTTAAAACTGATGGGTCTATGAAAGTATCTGCTCAATGCTCAGTAAAAGCAAATGGAAGGAATTGTCAGAAAATGGAAAATGAAAGAGAGAACATTACTGTGGCACTGTGTCCAGCCATAAAGCCATATGCTGTCTTCACACTATGGTCTACCCCAGCATTCCACCTCAAAAAGAATATAATGGAGATGGAAAAGATCCCATGGAATGGACCATCTTACAGAAGGCACCGCTGGAGATGGGATACTAAGCTTTAATTTGACCTGCTACATTTTCTCACAAATGTACTTTATTTTCTCAGTTGTGTCTGTTAAAAATAAGTAATTTTATTTAAGGTACTTTTATTTAATTTTATGTAACAAATACATGAATTTAAATGTTGGATTTGTGTGCTGTTACCTTAATTACCATTTCCATCCACATGTATCTTGGTATCATTCAAAGTAAAAACAAATAAGTAATGTATGCATCATTCACTATCCTTAATGATAAAAATGTAAAAAATAAGAATCTGCATATATATATTATGCTATGACACTATGTGAAACATGAACTGAAACAATGTGAAAAACAAACTGTATCTTTCTGGTTGTCAAAAATAATGACCGAATTTCCTTTAAAGGTTATATTTTAATGATTATGCTGGTCTATGAAAATGATCTGTTTCGTAGGAATAAAAGCACAAAAGATAAAAATCACTTGCTTAAATCAATATTTCCTGCTTATTGATTTGAAACACGCTTTGAAGTTATCAAATAAATATATATATATATAAAAGTTATCAAATCAAAGTAATTGTAGTCAATTCACCGAGAGAGAATATTGTTATATCTGACTAATTGCATATCAGCATTTCATGAAAAGTAATTTTTTTCTGGTCTACAAAAATGACAGTAATATCTGGAGTACTCAATCTTTTAATTTTTTTTTGTTTTTCAGTCTGGATATTAGATTCACTGTTCCATAGTTGAAGCATTGAAACTTTCAGTCTGAACAAGTAAGATTTTTTATAAACTATAGTTTCTTTGTATTTAATGTTAGATGTAAATAGTGATTAAAAAATCAAATAACCTTAAAAAGAAAATGTCTTTTCAAAAATCAAAACATCATAATTGCTAGATTTATGTTCCAGCTATATGATATGACTATTTATTAACATTGTAAAAAGTCTTACTCTAAAACGTTTTTTAAAGGTAGCCTTTACGGAGAAATTTTATTAAAAATTTCTATTTCAACATATTACAGATAGAAAATTTTGGGTTAATGATTTTTTTCTGACAAAATATTTTTTTCAGCTGGACATTTCTTGTGTCTTATAGTCTTTTCTATATCTTACAGTAATTTCTACGGCTTATTCCAAAATATTGCAGATAATTTCAGACTTGCAAAGACCACCTTCTCCCTTTCCCCCACAATTATACAGAAGCTTAAGTTTTATAAAATTATGCCTGAAAAAGTCTTTTTTACTGTACTATTCAAGGTCTAAAAAACATAGAGGTGTGATAGTCCAGTTTTATTTCGACATGTGCAGGTAAATCAATGCCCCCAACATTTATTTTAAAATTCCACGTAATGAAATCGCAGATTTGCAAAAAATGTAAAATTCTCAAAATGTGTCTCTTCCTGCAGAAATGCGTGTGGCACACGTCTTCGCGCAAAAGACGTTCCCATGACTCCCTTAGTTATTACTATTGTATCTCAAATCTCTCCTGGATTTTGTGGAAGGGAAGAGAACAGAGCTGCCCAACAGAAATGGGGCTGTCTCTAATGACTCCAATTTACCAACATCAGGCCCCACCTCATTCCTATCACGTCTTTCTTTTATCTCCTTACTGCCTACACAATGCTGTTACCTATGTTCAGCTGGCTAGTAAAAAAAAGCTTTGACCAGATACAGACACTTCTTGGCTAGCTCGGGAGCTGAGAATCTGTGCATTTCTCCAAGCCACCCACAGATAAATATCATGCATATATTCCTTCTGGTTAGGAGTGCTTGCATGCCCTGACACTGATTCTTAGCCATTCCAACCACAGAGTACGGAAGCCTGTCTGGAGATGTTTTCATCCTGGGATGTGTTCAAGACTGCCTATGAGCTTGGGCATCAAGTGTAACTCATTTGACTTTTTTAATCTTAAAATGAGTGTAATAATGTTTAAGTACTTCACACAGGTTTTGCTTGAAGAATCAAATTATATTTGTCATGACCTGCACGAACTTGCCAAGATTTTCAAATGCAGATCCAGAAATATGAACCTGTTTTTAGACATATCAGTAAATACTATAATTTTCAAAAGCAATTTCCATTGAAACTTTTAATATGTTTCTGTGATGCCGGCCAACATCTCAGACATACCATATAACTTTCATACCCATACTGATACATTCCACACTGCATCTTTTTTTACCAGAAACCTCTGATCCCTTCACAGAAACTTTTACAAACTTTTCTATGTTCCTACTAAGATGTTACCATTTCCTGAATACTATTGGTACCTGTGTAGATATTAGCCACTCGGTGCACCACAAAAGTGTGCACTGAATACTGAAGGATGGTTTATGTGTCAGCTACTGTATGAGCTAGACTTATTCTAAAAAATTGAATTCTCTCTTCTCAGTGGAATTTATAGAAAGCAACAGAGTACATCTCATTCAAAGAATGGGAATGATCACTGTCAAGCAAATAGCAGATGACCTTTTAGCCTGCAATGCCATGTCTTTTGAAGAAGTAAATACCATTACCTGTGAAAAGGTTGAACAAGAAGCCTCAAGAATGATGATTTACATGATTTTGAATAAAGGTTCAGAAGCCTGCAATATTTTGGTTAGGTCGCTTGAGAAACACAACCCTTTTCTCTTTCATGACCTGCAAGGATATTGTAAGTATTATGGATTATATTTTTGTCTTCTAGCCAGGAGTTAAATTATTATAGAAAAAACCATTAAAAACTTGCAATGCACTCATTTTTGCAATAGTCTTATAATTCTGTAGTTAAGTAAACCCTAGTTTGATTTGTGTGGTCTGAATTGTTTCATCTGAGAGAATGAAACAGTGAACACTAAGATATTTTACAAACGTTAAGACACAAAGAGGGGAAATCCAAATGCAGTGAAAAATTCTGAACGAGTGAAAATCATCTGTGATCAGATAGCTGAAATTCAGACAGTTAAACACATCCCATCACTTGTTTATGATAAGTGAGTTGTGGGTGAGCTGAACACTGAATTAGATCAGTTCTATGGACAAAATTCATATAAAATTTAATGGGGATATGTAATGAGTTTTTCAAATATAAACCTCTTCCCTGGAAGCTGAAACTACTTGTGCACAGACCGCAATTTCATTATGTTGTTAAAGGATTATCTTATTGCATGAATGTAATGCATACACCCAGGCTAATTTTTCGGCACTCCCAAAGAGGCACGATGTTTGTTACCGAAGCTTTCCCTAAAACAGGTTTCCCCAATTTCCTTCAGTTTGATGGACTGTGCTTCTTTACTCCACTTGCTTCAAAAGTCTGATCTTGAAATAAATGTCTGATTCAGCCCTGCCCCTTAGTTTATGTATGTGTGCTTTAAAGGGCAGTGCATACAAACCTTCCAGGACTCCCTTTAGAAGCTGAGGGGGTTTTGTAAGCTTCAGACTTTCCAGATGTTACTACATTTTCTTATGTCTATGATGGAACGTTCAGCTAAACTCACCTCCTAACTGTATGAAAGCAGCTCTTAGACTAACCAAAAGTAACAGAAATGCAAGAGACATAGTTTAAAAAAAGAACTAGATTAAAAGTTCATTCAGTCCAACTGTCAAAACCTGTTACTGATTTACAAATCTCTCTCTTAATACTCTAATATCTTTCATATATATGAATGCCATCTTTCCATATTAAAACCTTATTACATAAAAAACTCATACTCTCAATATGCATTTGCACATATAAACTTTCATATGCTTGTATGCAAGCTTAGATTTTTGGAATGCAATGCATGAGTGGGGTAAGTCCAAAAGGCCCTCAAGTAAGGAATTATGTAGATCCAGAGGGGTATCTGCAGGCTGTGTGAATCTTCTGCACAAGGAGTAACTACAGCCCTTATCCATTAAGTCTCGCCTAGACAGTGGAAAATAAATACATCTCATGCCTCTTGCTTACCACTATTTGATTGATTTTAAGTACATTGAGACAGTTCTTCCAAAAGTAATGAAATTTAATTCACAAACTCGTTGACTATTTAATCCACTGATATATGATCTGTTTGTCTTAGGTACTACCAGGCAAGTGGAACAAGCTAAATTAAATGGCTTGATTCAGGATTTAAAGTATGTGTATCTATCTTCAGCTTTTCAAAAATATCATCCTCTGGGTTGTGATATTGACATAATTTTTGATTTGGGAACTTCCTATACTGATGTCTTGCTGTGGAAAAAAGATATACATAATAGCAGGAAAGGGCAGCTGACGCTAAATGTCCTTCTGGAAGAATTGAAAAATCCCTGCATTATAGAAGGAGAAGCTGGCAAAGGAAAAACGACTCTTCTAAAAAGAATTGCCGTACTCTGGGCTTCTGATAATTGCTCCGCTTTGAAAAAATTCCAGTTTGTTTTCTTTATCAGCCTGACTAGCACAAGAGGTGGAATATACAAGACTGTCTGTGATCAGCTTCTTTTTGAACACTACCACATCTGCGAACAAGAGTTCATGAGAATGCTACTAGCACAAAGAGAAAGGGTCCTTTTCCTGTTAGATGGATATGATGAATTCAAACCACAAAACTGTCCAGAGATAGAAGCAATGATAAAAGAAAACCACAAATTCAAAAACATGGTCATTATTTCTACCAGGACTGAGTCCATCCATAAAATCAGACAGTTTGGGTCACTGATTGCTGAAATAGGAGATCTATCAGAGGAGAGTTGCAAGAAGCTCATTAAAAATGTCTTGACAAATAATCTGGCTGATGGTCTGTTAAACCAGCTTGAAGAGGCCACTTCCATGAAGAACCTTATGAAGACTCCACTCTTTGTCATCATTGCTTGTGCCATTCAAATGGGTGAAAGTAATTTTCATCCAAGCACCCAAACTCTACTTTTCTCTACTTTGTATGAGTTGATGGTGGCGAAAAACAGGTACAAAACAAAAGAAATAACAGAAAAACATATTATGCTGAGCATAAATCATTGTGGAGACTTAGCTTTAGATGGGATATTTGATCAGAGATTTGATTTTCAGTCTGAGGATTTAGCTGATGTGAAAGAAGAAGTCCTGCTAGCTTCAGGTCTTCTGAATAAATACACAGCCCAAAGACTAAAGCCAACATACAGGTTCTTTCATAAATCATTTCAGGAATACACTGCAGGCCAAAAACTTTGCAAACTACTGACATCCTGCCAAGAAGCAGACGTGAAGAAAGGGTATAGTTACCTACAGAAAATTAATACTATTTCAGATATTAGCAATACTTATTTCAATTTGCTCCTCTACACTTGTGGATCTTCTCCAGATGCCACTAGAATAATTTTGGACTTACTGAAAAGAATTGATCAGCACAGAGATTTTTCTCAACTGCTTTCATTAAAGAATCTGGCTTTGGAAAGCAAAGACACAAAACCCCCAGAAAATATACCTGAAAAGGAAGATTTAAGTAAAACTGACAAGGATATTTTGGCGGACTGTGTCATTAATTTCTTTTATGAAAGTTCTTCCAAATCAGCATTGAGCAGAGATTTTGAAGAGTTTTTTTGTAATAAAAGTATTTACATTAATACTCAAAATATCCCAATTTATTTTTCTGATTTTTTTAGATACTTACCAAATTGTGTTAGTGTACTAGGACTCATTAAGTTAGATTTTTTTGGAAATTACTCACCCAATAAGGAAACAGACAATGAGAATGTGGAAAATCTTCAAATTAGTTCACTTAAAACTTACATTCCTGAAAAGGCTGTCTCCCTATTCTTCAACTGGAACCAAAGTCTCAGATCTTTAGAAATTACACTGCAGGATTTCAACAAGTTAAAGAAGCACGATATTAAATATCTGGGCAAAATATGTTGCTCTGCTGCAAGCCTCAAGCTGCGCATCAGCAATAGTGCTGGTATCACAGGAACATTGAGTGAAGTCCTTGAAACCTGTAAAAACTTAGAGGATCTTACTGTGGAGTCCACGCCTCTTACTGTGGAAGATGAGAAACAGATCACAACAATGACAAAGCTGAAAACCTTACATATAAGACATCTGCAAAGTGAAAATCTAGAAGGTACAGTATTTACTGGCAGTAAATGAGCTCTTTTAGATAAATGTGGATGAGAAGGTAAAACAAAGTGGCTCATGGCTGCCTTGTATATGGAAGATGCCTGGTTTTGATCAGTTTGAGAAATGTTATATTGCTAGAACGCAATTCTATTCATGGTGAAAGTGGCTGCAGTTTACTCAGTGATGTAAATTTAATTATGTTATTTAGTTGTGTAAATCAGGTCTGGCCTTTGAATTCCTGTAAATTGCCATTTCATTATATTCTTGGTTCTTGGTACATAATATATTAAAAAATCTGGCTTTTAATAGAATACTAGATGGGAGAAAAATTTAACAACTCTGGTGCAAATAATCCACAGTAAATGAGAAACTGTCTATATGCTAGCTAAACTTTATGAGTGCCATTGGATACAGCGTACCATCACTTTAACTTAGTTTTCGCAACAGATGCCTATGGTTTTGACAGCCAAATGAGGGTGTTGTAGCCTAGTCTAGACCTGTAACACTGGACAGAAATTTTCCCTCATTGCTTACTACAACCTTGTCATAATTTTCAGGTAAACGTTTTTTTTTGAAGTAGTCTAGTTCTGATGTTAATACCTAATACGATGGAAAATCTGCAGTATCTTTTGATAAGTCATTCCAGTAATTAATTAAATGCTTCTAGCTTGAATAATTGTTTTCTCTTTCAAATTACAATGGCATAATAAAGAAGAGTGTAGTACCTATAGTATAGTATGCTCCAGACATACCTGAGGTGAAGGATCCTGCAGGTAGGATAGAATCATAGAATCATAGAATGTTTTGGGTTGGAAGGGACCCCTAGAGGTCATCTAGTCCAACCCCCCCCCCAGGATGAAGGACATGTATTTCCTGATGCTGTGAATCGCACACATACAGGATCCTTCCACACTTATTAGAGCAGGGCACTAATGGAGGCATCTGCTGCTGCACTGTGCTCTGAGCTTTTCAACATTCAAGCTATCCATGAAGCTGTCTTGTCTTGAGAAACGTACACAAGTACTGATGCTACCAGATCTCAGAGGTAGGTTATCATGAGTCAGCAAAGCACTCTTGCAGTGATGAAGACTAAGCACATAGTGGGCTGCATTAGCAATAGTGTATCTGGGAAGTGGTTATTTCCTTTTATTCTGCACTCTTGTGGCCATTCTGGAGTATTATGTGCAATTTCAGGCTGCCCACTATAAAAGAGATAGTAACAATCTGGTTAGAGTCCAATGGAGGGCCATTAGTGTGGCCAGGGAGCTGGAACACCTAATATGCAATGAGAAGTTAAGAGAACTGGCCATGGTTTGCCTGGAGAAGAAAAGGCTAATGGGGAATCTAATTGCAGTCTTCCATTACCTTAAAGGTGTTATAGAAAAGATGGAGTTTTTCAGAGGTGCACAACTGAAGGGCAAGAGTCAACAATTTCAAGTTTCTAACAAAGGAAGTTCCAATTGGACATAAACTGTTTTTTACCAGGAGGGTGGTCAAACATTGCAACAGGGATCTGGAGGTCATTTAATCACTTGTCCTTGGAGGTTTTCAAAACTCGTCTGGAGAAGGCCCTGAGCAGCCTCATCTAACTTTAAAATCAGCCCTGCTTTGAGCAGGAGATCAAACTAGATGACCTCAGAAGTCCTAACCTGAATTTTTTGATCATTTTATAACATACAATCTCAAGATTATTCAGGAACTACATATTAAATTAAAAAAAAAAATCTCTTTCCTGTCTGCACACATATGCCAAGATTGTTAGGGAGAACAGCATAAGAATACAGTAACAACAGCCATACTGATTCAGAGGAAGGGTCCGTCTACCTTGGTTCATTGTCCCCGACAGCACCTATAAGTGGGTATCTAAGGAAGAGCAAGAACAGTGCAAGAATCTATAATACTTTATTCTTCCTAATCTCACAGCCTCTGTTTCAAGCTCAGACCAGTTTCCTGTGCTTATGATTTGTTTATTCAGTGACCTCCCCAAAGGGTCCTGCTAGTACTTGTCTGTCTTTGCTTTGAACCCATGTAAACTTATTGCATCTGCAGCATCCTTTGCCAAAGGGTGTGAAGGACTATGTCTTTAATCTTTGTTTTGGACAAGTTTCAAGTGATGGCCCCTTGTTCTTGTACTGGAAGAAAAAAATGGCCAGTCTCTACCCAACCTTTTCCATGCAGTCATTATTTTGTAGACCTCTGTCATATTCTCCCTAGGTCATCCCTTTTAGGCATTCATATTTTCACACAAAACTATTACTTACTTTCACAAGAACCTAATATCACTGAAGTGTATCTGTTCTACAAATGAATTTGTTCCTGTATTAAATTAATATGCTGTATACATCTATGTTTTGGGGTTTTTTTGGCAGGTGGACTTATTGATGGAATAAAGAAACTTGTGAATGCTGAAGGGCTCGTACTTGACAACATAAGTATGGATGAAGGTGATGCAAAAAAATTAGGTAATTTCTTCTCTCCTATTTCACAGCATAAACAAATATATAGTGCTGAGAATGTGAATGTTTTAACAAGTTGGTCTGAAGTTTATACATTATTAGGACTTGAAAACCCTATCAACTAATTTAAAGAAGTAATTTCTTATATATTTGCATTGAAGTCTTGATATGTTCTGTATCCTGATTGTCAGAAAGCATGAGAGTTCTCCTTTCAAGTTAGTAATGCATACTGTAGTCAAACAGATCTAACATACTGATCCCAGGACTGGCTAATCTACATGAACCGCAAGTCAGGAGATTGCAAAGGTGATATAGTTCCCTTCCCTGACCTATTGGTGACTTTCTGCAAGGCTGGTCACTGGATACCAAGGTTGAAAAGTTTGAATAATGTTCGCTAGGGCCACACAGCCCAGTAACTGAAATGGAGATGGCAATCCATATGTCTATCTGTGCTCTCTTTGGTGGCGTGGTAAAAGAATGCTTCTCTTGGATTTGTTCCACAAGAAGATCACATTTGATCTTCTGTGAGTTACTTTCTTTTGGCTGAGGGGCAGTTTGTATTGATTACATGATACAGTAGCTGAAAAAGAGGCTGTGTTTATCTTTTTTTTTGCAAACAAATCTTATCATCTATTTAATGGCATCAAAATACAGAGAGTTGTGGTATGCCAGGCAGTAAACATCTAGTTCTGTCTAGAAGTTTGCTGTGATCAAGACACTATAAGCATATCAAAACAGTTCACCTAGCAGTATGACCTTTTTTTTCCCCCCCATTTATAGCTGAAGGTATCAGGAATTTGAGAAAGCTACGCTTATTATACATGAATCATTTGACAGCTATTGGGGATGGCATAACCTGCATTGTAAGATCGCTCTCTGATGAACTAAGTGAACTGGAAGAAATCCAACTCGTCAACTGCTGTATCTCCAGTGATGCTGTGGAAATTCTAGGTAAGTATAGTAAAAGTAACTTTACGAACTGAGTATGTGTGTTTTGAAAATCAAACCATAATTCTATAACAACAACAAAAAAAAGCTTGTAAGGATAAAATCAGAAACGCTTAGGTTCACAATGAGTTTCAGTTAGCAGAGATGTAAAATTCAATAAGGAAAGTTTGTATAAAGATTTTATATAAATCCTAAGTATAAAGGTTGTCTAAAAGAGAAAGGTAAACTATTGCATAGCTCTAAACAAGCAAAATAGGAAAGCAAATAATGGATGATGCAAGCAAAACTAGTTTTCAAAGTTGTTTTTGTTTCAATCACTACCAGGAAGATTCATTCTGATCAGGTACCTACTCAAATCATTTTAACAAGGTCACAGTAGTACAAATCAGGATAAGTAAAAATTATTTAACTGAAACAGATGAACTCAGGTTAGCAGAACTTAGGGAAATTCACAATTAAGTATGTAAGGAACAAGCTGAAAGGATCATTGAGCCATAGACAACTGTCTCTGAAAATTTGTGGAGGCAGGAAAGTAGAAAACCCAGTATCTTTTCCTTGAAAGGAGGAAATCATAGACAAGCCAACCTCATTCTGATACCAAGAAAACTTCTGAGACAGATTATCACAGAAACATTTTGTAAGGACTTACATTATAGAGATAGAAAGGTAGTGTGAACAAATCACGTCAAACCTTTCAAGCGAACAGGGTAAGAAGATTGTGAAATAAGTCTGGATCTATCATAACTCACATGAGGTTTTTAACACTATCCTATACAACATCCTTAACAAGAAGCTCATGAAATGTATATAAATAAAATGAGTGCACAACTGGTTGAAAAATTACTTTCAAAGAGTTATCACAGATGTTTCACTAACATCTGAAACAATCAATTAAGTCCTTCCTTGTTCTAAACAATATTTTAACCGATGGCTTAAATGACAGAATGGAGGATATGCTTATAAAATTTCAGATGATACTGAGGTTGGAAGGCTTACAAGTCCTGTTGGAATGCAAAACCATAAATGAAATTGGATGCATTTAAGAGGTGGTCCAAAAACAATGGTAGGGAATTCAGTATAGACAGATGTAAAGGGCTGTAGCTGGGCACGAGACATCAATTTCATGAATATAAAATGGAGATTAACCTGTGTAGCGGGAAAGAATCAGAGCTCTTCTGTGGAAGACTGGCAATATTATGCTACTGCAAAAAACATGTGCTGGTGAGTCCTGAGCAACAAATTTGTGCCCAGCCTTGGTATCATAATTAAGAGAGGTATAGAGAAATCGAGAGAGAGAACCACCAACAGCTAGAGGTTATTAAAATGTGACTTATGAGGAATGGTTTAATTTTATTTTGATTGAGAGAGAAGTCTGAAAAAGATACGATACATTTTTTATGTTCTTTAGACATTGCTACCAAGAGATGATAATCACCCATTCTTTTTGTCCACTGGGAGAAGAAAGTAGCTACATTTGCAACAAAGAATATTTAGACTGGATATTGGCAGAAACTTGCTAAAGCCAGGAAGGTAAAACAGCATCTAGGGACAATATGGAAAATTTCAAAGAGCAAAATAGATAAATATGTATTGTGAATGGTTTAGGGTCAATATCCTGCCCCATTACAGATGCTTAGACTCTCAGGTCCCAACTAGTCCTACTCTTCCACAATTCTCTGACCCTGTAAAATATATATTTTTATATCATAATAAAAAAAACTTGTCAGCTTTGTGAAGCAGGAGGTTGAAGTCTCCAGGGCTTAAACCACTAAAGAATCTCCAATGTATTCAGACAGTTTTACCCTGCTTCTGTGTTGCAAAGACATCTTAAAGTTGTCTAATCACCACTGAAAATTCATTTAGCCACCAGAGTATAAGTTATGCAGAACCATTACTCCAGCTCTTATGGCTGCCCAGGTCCTTTATTTTATTAATTCCTGGAAACACAATTAAAAACAAGAGAGCACAGTTTCCATCAGAGGGACGTCAGAAAAGTGAGGAAAAACCTGGAGGCTATTAAAAATCTTGTCTTGCTGTTTATTAAAAAACAAAGCTAAGAAAGGTGCAAAAGAAGACAAGTCATCCTGCACTGAAAACATGTATAACAAGTTTTTTTTTGCTCCCATAGCTCAGAATCTTTGTAATTTGCCAAAACTGAATGTACTTGATTTGTCAGAAAATTACTTAGAAGAGAAAGGAAAAGATGCTATCCACAGACTTGGTAAGTCAGAAAATTTCTTCAGATAAATCACTTAAATTGGGAATGAGCTTCAATTCTAGGACTCATCCAGACAGAAATTGAAGAATTCTTCCCTCTTTAATTTTTAAGTAGGATGTAATTGGTATCCTGAAGCATTTCCTCTCAGTGAATGAGAAGTTTTGAGAAGTGAGGAATATTGTATGCAATTGGCTGCTCTGTCTTTGCTACCAAAGCAACAGTCTTTCTTGGAGTCTTTAACCTACCAGTGTTTTCTTCACTGTTGAAATGTGATTTGGTTTAACTTTTCAAGGTGATTTTACAGTTCACTGTTATAACCAAAAAAACTACACTTATTTTGATTTAGTCGATGGCTTAAATGTCCTACCTGGGATGAAAGTTCTGATGCTACCCTGGGGAGATGATGTAAAGGTTTGCCTAACAAAATTGTTAGAACTACTGGAAACAATGCCACAGCTGACAAAACTTGGATTGAGGAAATGGAGCCTCACTGATGCGGAGGTCAGAATTCTAGGTAAGTAAAAAATTGTGGGTGAGCAAAAGATGAAGAACAAAAACCAGAGAAACTCAAAGCCACTTCAGGAAGCCCAGCAACTTTTAATAGTGTAAGTGAAATAGCTTACTCAACAAGGACCATTTTTCACTGCATAAGTAGTGCAAGGAAGACTGCAGGCAAATGGAGATTCCTGGTGAAGAATCTCCTCGAGAGGGAATCTTTTCTGATTGATGAATTATCTCCTCCATAAACATGACAGGAATACAAGTGGACTCTTCTTACATCAAATCTTCCACTAACATAACATCTGTTATGGAATGTATGTGCACAGTAGAGTTAAAAAAGGAAAATACTCGTATAACTAGTAGATAGCTGAAGATCAGGGAGATATAAAAACCTGAATTCACACCACTCACCCCTTCTGAGGATACAATAGAAATGAAATGTCAAAATGAATGGGAATTTTCATGAGTCTGGTCTTGCAATGCTTTTGTGCGAGCGATCATGAGCAACAGTCTATCGGTCCATTTAAGCTAATGACCTGTCTGTAATTAAAAGTATCCTGTTGTATGCAACATACTGCAGGTTAGGTTTTAACAAGGAAGTCTAGATATATAAAAAACCCTGTGATCTGTGACCGCTATATTTTACATTCTTTGTAAAAAAAAAAGTTATATGCAAGCACATGTTTAAATCCTTTTCTATTAAGGGTGGTATTTTTTTTAAGCATAGAAGTTCAACTGACTTCAATAAGATTAAATTCTTCAATATCCTAAACAGGAATTAATCTCTTCATTAGGGCTTGAAGCAAAAATAAATACATAAATAAATGTATGTTCACAGGGAATTTTTTTGAGAAAGAACACCTGGAGAATCTTCAGCACTTGGATTTGTCAATGAATTGTGTGACAAGCGATGGCTGGCTTTCCTTCATGCAGCCACTGATCTCTCTCAAGAAGCTGGTATCTGTAGATTTCAGCAGCAAACGAGACTGGGTGCCTGCATCACTGTTAGTATGCAAATTAAGTCAGGTACTAACCACACTGAATTATTTAAAGGAGATTAAAGTGACCGGGTGGAAGTTTGATTGCCATGATCTTGGACTTATTAATGGTGCAAAAGTAAACTGCAGAAAGCAGTTTCAGCTAGTGCATTCTTAAACAGAACGAGCTTTGCCAGTGGACGTTCACTTACAGTCTTTCGTATTTGAGAAATGCTCTTCTCTATAACCACACATTGAATCAGCAGCCCTAGGGTTATCTGGATCTCCCGGTCAGCTAGTGAGATGGGACTGGGAATAGTATCACAGTCTCTTCTGGGAGAAACAGGTCAAAAGAAAGTAAAAGAGAAATCACCTTGCATTAGCCCCAAATCCTGCAACCTGTAATGCCTCTCAATCTTTAAATGGTTTCAGGGAGTGTTCACTTTATCTGTGTGTGCTTTCTATGAGCTCGTTTTTATTAGCTTTGAAGTTTAACTGTGTAGATTAGGGAAAGCTCTTAACAAAAAGGTAACAAAGGCTGCAACTTGATGGATAACAAGTAGGTGTTTTACCAGGGGTCTTTTTTCAGTTAGATAATATAGTTGTCTGACCTAGCATAGAGGGGCTTTTCCTACTGGCAGGGCAATTCTAGTATAGCTACATCTCTACAATACACTACAGGAAAATTTACTGCTGAGACAGAATGTGCCAATGAAAAATTAGACCCCTAAAACAACAGTATGATTGGAGCATATTAGCTCTACAAAAGAGAGCACGGTCACACAAGTGACCATGAATTATACACAGGTGTAAACAAGAGCTGTTCTGCAGTTATTAGCCACAAACAAATTCTTACTCCTCAGCAAAACACCAGATAGCTTATCTCAAGCACCTTTTACCATCTTTAATCTACCACCGTTTTGGCTTGTAAAAGTAAGTCAGCATTTATTGCTTTCTTTCACAGTAAGCTACCTCACATTTAACATGAGGTAAGAGTTTACATGTGGACGTTGTAATAAAGTTGCAGGGGTGCTCTTAAGTTCATACTGTGGTCCACTTCGCAGGAAGTTGGTTGTTTTCTGGTACCCTTCGTTCCTGGTGAAGACAAGCCAGAATGCAGTCTCCAGGCTCTCATAGTCCACAAATATCCCAGGAGACAACCAACCTTGTACACAAGGCAGCTCCAAACACAGCAAAAGAAAGCAGAGGAGACACTTGGCCACTTCTGTAAAAAGCGGTGGCCAACCAAAGACAGCAGACTCCCGTTTCCAGTCTGCTATTGGAATGAAGGGACAGGAGCACCAGTTAGAGCTGCTGTTCCACTTCTCTTGGCAGTGTTGAACCATGGGTCCTTGTACGCCGTGAAGCCATTAACTCTGTGTTATCTCCTCATAAGCACTTGTACTTGTGAGTTCTGTTTTGTGCCAGAGAGTGCTTCAAAGCTATTTCATTCGTCTCCCTGTGCCCTGCCAGTAAAAACAAATGCAGCATTTTCCCTGTAGTTAGGATCCTTCAAAGGCATGATCCCCATTCAGCAAAGCACTGAGTTCAGTGAAAGTGCTTAAGTTATCTGTGTTCACAAAATCTGACACAGGCTAGAAAATACTTCTTTTTTTCCAAGCAGCAAAATCCTATATCAAATATATAGACTGAAAACTGAATAAAAAATAGAAAAATTGATTTAAAATTACTAGGGTGCATCTGTGAAAAAAGACACATGGATTTCTGTAGTAAATACTTATTTTTTATTTTGACACAGAAAGCAGATCTCAAAATAATACAGTTTAAAGAAGACAGTCTCATCACCATTTATGAATTTCAATCCTTTCAATTGCTTAGTTGCTTAGCAGAGAAACTTTGTGCTTCAAGGCTCTATTTCAGAGTGGTGAAAATGTGAAAGAATAACCAAGCTCTTGGTTATCCCTGCATCCCTCTTCCCACAGCTGTATTTGGGTTCTCCCCTTCCTACTTCCTCAGCAGACTGTACTTCTCACCAAAGACTGTAGATAATGTTGTTTGCAGTAGAAACAATGAAAAGTTGAATAAATTAGAGAGACCATTTTTGTTCTGCCTATTCTCTTGTTTACTCTTTATCACTGGCACCTGATGCTTCAGACCCAGGCAATTTTCTTGCCCTCCACAGCTTCGTTCTGTAAGAAAAAACAAGTAGAAAAGCACAGTCTCTATTTTCTGGTGGATATTGAATTGCAACATACTGAGTGTTCTTGCCTTGAGACGTATAAATCCGCTCTGACAGTTAAGACATATGATACAAAACCAAAGAGCTCTATTATTAGGTCTCATAATTAATATACTAGGATGTGGACAGGTGTTTGAAACAACCAACATATCTTCAAAGGACTTCGTTTTCCATTTAGAGCTAGTTGGGAAAACTCAGATCTAGAAAGCAGCTGACAGAAAAGGGTTAATAGCTATTGCTGAACCTGAAGAAGGAAGCATAGGTAGTCCAGGCAGGTGGCCTTGTAAGATAAAGGTCTTGGAAAGATGGTGGTAAAAAGTCAGTCCTGGAGCTTGAACGGAGATGGATGATCCTTTTTTGAGGATGATTGCAATTACAGTGCCCTAGGGAGAAACTTCGTGACCAAACCAGGAACCTGGACGAGAGGCTGAGAAATTAGAATGACCAAGAAAATGTTTACTTTGTACTTCAGGTGGCTGTGCAGTTTTTTTGCCACTTGGCATCGGACATAATAGGATCAAGCTGGAAACCTGAGCTATAGAGCAGGCAGGTTTGAGTAAGGCCTAGAGAGAAAATAAGAGCCAGATGAGGGCTTATGTCTGACACCATGCAAAAACCCAAAGGACTATGTGAGCACTGAGGCAATCATCTTCCTAGAGCTACAAATGTAAAGTTTTGTAAAGTTTATCAGTGCAGAAAGAGAAAGATGAACTAAAAAACAAGTCCATCAAGCCACAAAAATGAACAAATGATATTGCTCAGATAGTTGGGGACAAATCTGTACAAGTTTGATTTGACAGTACTATCAAACTGAACTGCTGACTTCACTTGTTTTTAGGCTCTCATGCTAGTCAGCCCTACCCTTTCAGTCTCAGGACCTTTCTGTTTTCTGTGAAAAAATTAACAAAACCATGCATAATTTAATTATTGTAATTAAAGGACTATTCTCTTCTCTCCAATGTGTTGTGTTGCCTTTTATGCCAGAGTGTCATGTTTGTAGAGAGAGTGCTTTGCGTTGGCAGCCTTTTGTCCTCACTTTGTGCTGATGTAAGTAAATACATACAGTGCAGAGCAATGGAAAAAATCAGGCACTAGAAATGTGGAAGATTACGTTGTGTAGAGAACTGGATTGTGTTCCAAGTCTTGTGAGATCAGAAACAAGTGCCATTAACTCTGGTCCTTGCAAGAATCCTTTACTTTTGGTAAGTAGCGGAAAAGTCTTTGTTAGGACTGCTGATAGGGGAAAAAGGCAAGCAGCCGAAGGGCAATGTTTTAACTGCTTTCAAAAATGGGTAACTGAGCCTTTGGAAGACAGTTCTAAAGAGAAATCAACTGTAGCCTGTGGCTAGTCACAACCCTACTAGAAGAAAGGCATAATAAGACCAGACTCCAGTTGTTCCATGGTGGAATCAGTGAATAAACCTGCATTTTGGTGCACTGTTTTCCTCACTACACCAGCACATTTCAGTGCTTCTACAAAACATTTTAAAAGTGAAAAATTAACCACAGTGTCCTCCCCTCCATCATATAAAGTAAAGGAGCCTGAGACGTGTATGAAGCTAATTTTTCACATTCCCTCGGTTGCTTTCCCCCGTTTTCCTCCACAACATCTTGGCTCACGTTCTTTTATACTTCATACATGCTTGTAGTAAGCACAGTAGCGCTGCCTGTAAACATGAACAATTTTAGGTTTGTTTTTACAGTCTATCCCCTTCCTTCCTAAAGGTCTGATGAATAACAAGTTATAATGCTATTGCTACACATTCACAATTTAGGGATAAAAAGATGCTGATGAGATACTTAAAATGTCAAAACATAAGATATCTAGAAAGCAGGAAACTGCACCCTACAGAAGATCATTGTTTGTTGTTACAATACTGTATAGTGTATGCTTTCAATGATTTATGAACGATCATTTAATCTGCCTTCCCAGCCCTCTGGAACTGAATTAGTCTCTTGATAGGTCTGATTAACTTGGCCCCCTTCAGTCATATAATGCTGTTTTTGCTTGTAGATAAGCAGCTTTTGGTTCGTTGTATTTGGACTGTTTCCCACAAGTGGTATAAATGTGTCCTTAATGCTTCTTACAAGTTTGTTAATAAGATTAGAAGGATGATTGTAATATTTGTTGATTACTATCCAGTATACTGCTAATCCATTATGGCGATGGGGAAAGGGAAGCGCACAGCATGGATTTGAACATAATCTCAAACAGTAGCACTTGTTAACTTTCAGCAGCTTATGTATTTTATTGTGCTCATTGCTAATTAAAATTCTTACACAGAAAGCTTGCTTCACCCTAGGCTTGACCCGCCTCATATGATGCACTGAGGTAGCAATTTCCTTGAATTAGGGTAGCATGGGCATGTGACAAGTATTCTCTGATCACCTTCCTTATTGTGAGTCTCTAATGACTAGTTAGCACGCAAAAAGAGCATTAATGTCCTTATTGTGTTCGTTCTCTTGTGTGAAAATGTAATGGGTTCCAGTGGAAGGAAAATAAGATTGGGACTTATTTCTAACCGTAGAGATTCCTTCACATATGGCAAGCAATCCTTTAAATTTAGTCCTCTGCATTTGCTTTCCTTCTCTCCTTTAACTTCCCTCCTTTCTACTCCCATTCCTTTTTTCCTGTGAATTTTCCCTGATGTCCTTTTTTTTATACAAAGATATTTTTAACAAAATGTATTTAACTAAATTTCGACTGGAATATAGGAATGTTCCCACTTTTGTGGGAGCTGCAACTGCTCAAATTCTTTCAAGACTGGGACCTCAAAAATTAGCTTCAGATTTGGATGAAATGATGCCACCTGCCAAAAGGAAGAAAATAACAATAAGAATAGATTTGTCAGTGTTAAAATGCAGAAAATTTTCTCCAAGTTACAAAAATATAATAGAGAAAACAGCAGAGGGTTGTTCCTCGTCAAGCCTGTGAATATCCCAGAATATGCATGGTCTCGTCTTTTGCAGTGTACTAATGCTAGTCTGTGCCTGGCACAGAATCACCCTTAAACTGTTGTACTCCTTGTGCTGGCCATAAGAACATAAAATTGACCTCTGTGAATTTTCAGCAAAGATTAAACAAAAATTTCAGATCAAAGGGAAATGAATTGCTGATCTGCTGCTCTACATAAACAATCGATGACTCTACTGCTGCTAGATTAGAAATCAGGAATCACGACTCAATATACACTTCATTTCAAGCAGGAAACTTTTTATTTATAGCAAAATGATGCAAGAGCAATTTGTTTTCTAATTAAACCTGGCACCGAGTTTCCATTTTGAAGCCTGACCTGGCTCCTACAAACAATCCACAACAAAATTTCAATCTGCGCTTTAGAGCTAGAGGAAAGCCAGCTTTGTTCTTGAAAGTATGAAGTGGTCTTCACACATTGTCAACTATAAGAGCAAATCTTCTAGCCAAAAATGCTAAAATAAAGATGGAATAACAAACTGAATGTAAACCATCCCATTTCCTGCCCTAAAGGAAAAATAGAGAATATTTCCCCTATGGATTTGATTAGCAAAAGTTTTGTGACAAATGAAAACAGTTAATTATTTGAATTGTACTTCAGCCAATGCAATTTTATTTAGCAAAGACTCTAAGAAAACATTACATTAACTTCATGTTACTGTGGGAAGTTGAAAGAATCCAGAGGTGTAGGGTTTTCTTTTCTTGAAGAATTTTTCAGAAGAAAGTATAAAATGCCTAAAAAGATAGATATTTGTGACATTTCTATTATTCTTTGCTTGGTATGATTAGTACTGTGTATTTCTCTTTTATTTTAGTTTAGGAGCTTCAATAAAATATATAAAATAGAAACAGCTACTGACTCACATTTCTTTCAATGAACAGCATACGCTGGAACTTTGCTGACCCCGGAACGCGTATAAGCTAGTTAATGCTCTGATCCAGTGCTCCAAGTAAGGTATGGGTCAGGCCATTATATTTATTAAGAACCACTGGGTGTCACTGTGTCTCTACAAATGCAGCAACAATGGGCTTGATTTATTAAGGAAACAAATGCATATCAGTTGCAGCTAATACATACCATTATAGTGTCTTTTTATGGAACTGTCAGGTTGCTTATTGTCCCACGTATACAGA